GCGTCTGTCACCCGGCACGGTGTCAGGGCGCTAAGGTGTCAGAGCTGATTCTGGGAAATACATTGGCTTTGCAGTAATAAACCATCCCCGACTGGCTTATCTGTTTCAATTCTTGTGCTTAAAAACTAATAAAACAACTTGATATTTGCTTCCCCCCCCCTCCCCAGCGATTTGTGTGACGTGACTAAAATAAGAAAATGTTGTTGTTTCAGCACGGTTGCCGTTCAAACGCTTGAATCCTGTACCAAAGGAAAAATACGATGCAGAGTCAGAAGTCAAAAAAGTAAAGAGCTCACAAAGTGGTTTTGGGCCGAGTAAGGATTCCTCCCTAGCCGTATCGCATGCATCCCTGGACAACGTGGAGAACGACTGCCAGCTGGATTCAGATGTGAATTTTTCTCCAAAACTCATTAACGGCAAGGGTCCGTTAGACCATTTTATACAGAAAAACACAAAAGATAACACGAACGAAACTGTAATTGTTATTGACCTGACAGAGGGCTCTGGCCATAGACTAAGTGATGACGTAGACTGTGTTAATCTTGGTACAAAAGCGTCTTCATCTGTAGCTATAACTAATGGCACGTTAGAAAAAGAGATAAACCAGTTGAATTGCCTGAATTCCACTCAGAGTAGCCAAACGGATGATTCAATGGAGACTGATGCACAGTGTGAAGCTGTAGCGAGTAAAGATGATGATTTGGTCGACGGAATCCAGTCTCATTCCAGGTTAACAGAGTGTAACAATGTGGAAAACGCAAAGGTAAACCAGAGCAAACTGAAGGACGTCATCTTTGAGGGGAAGATGCCTGTAGTGCTCCTGGAGGATATTATGACTGCAAAATCTCCCCAGGTCGCTTCTCTGGATGGAAGCATCACGTCGGAAAATGAGACCATGGAATCGTCTCATGAAGGAGACTCAGGACTTACCAACTCCTCGCTAAGTTCTCGCTCTGTGAGCTCACCTGAGGCGCAGCCTGCTGCGGAAACTAAGCAAAATACTAGTCCTTTAGCTGCCTCAACGCCTGTTAGGAAGGTTGGTCTCTTTTCTTGGCTTTTTTTTAAAAAACTGTTGTGTTGCAGATGGTTGTATGGTTTCCTGCACTTGTAGTGGGAAGGACACATAGGATGTTCACAAAGATGGTGAGAAGTGCCTGGAAGGTGGTGTTGATTTATCAATAACATAACTGAATTATTGCCCTTTTGAATCTTCCTTTAAATCCTACAGCTAAAGGATTGAAATCTTGCCTAGTTTTGAGCTGCTGGCATATTTGCATTGTGTGAGTGTACCTTTAAACTCTGTTACAGGTTCATTTTGTATAATTTTTTTTATGAACTGCTCATGAAGTGCATGCCCTGGGACATAGCGTATTGGTAATTGGGATAAGGACAATGCCCAAAAGTAGTTTTGTCCCTTAGGTGATGTTTTACAACCTCTATTCTATCCTTGATGAAGCTGCTGTAATTACTGTGAGAGGACATTACCCAGTACCTGTCACTGCAGATACTTTTCAAGATCTGAATTTCTGTAGCTGTGGTGCAGAAAATGCTTTTAAGTTGAAACCACAGTGCGTCAGTGGAGCTGCAGATCCGTACGTGAGGATGGAGGACGAGTCGGATGAGCCTCTGTCTCTCTGAACTGAGCATACAGAGCTTGTGCTCTCAGCCATCTTGTTACGGGCGCGCTGTCGAGCGCGGGGAGCTGCTCCAGGGAAAAGTCACTGCACGTACAGTGCTGCTGGGGACATGCGATGCTGTTGGGCAGCAAAGGCTGGAGCATGGGACCTCAAAATGAGCTCTGTGTGAGCTGGTCAGTTGTGATCTTCGTTCCAGTTTAATTCCTCTGCTCCAGCAAGAGACCCCAAAACACTGAGATTTTTGGTGCTGTATTGAAGGGGAAGCTTCTAAGGACCCAGAGTATCTGTGCAGGTGGCTGAAACACTCGCATAGCTCAAATGCCTGTTCACCGCTCAACCATTTTGGGGAAGAGATGAGTGGAGGTGTAAAGCAGGGGTTTCTCTGGGGGGGGGGGGGGGTGGTGAATGCGCTTGGGCACTGTAGCTAAGCCTCAACTACAGTTAGGCTGGACTATCTGACCAGTGCATTTGTTTTGCTCAGCTATGTTATTAGAGGGGAAAATGAGGAAGGTATTGAGGGGTGGGTTGATGTTGTGCTGCCGGAGACAGAGGATTGAGGGTGGAGCGGCCAGTAGCTTTCCCGCTTATCCCATCTTGAGCCTTTTAAGAAAGATTTTCACCAACTGTTCTCCCAGGGCTTAAGGAGAGACTGTCCCACAGGTGAGGAAAAACCTCGCTGGCCTGGAAAAGATATGGATGAGTTAGCCGGGGCTTGGAGCTGATGATGTGACAGGTCTTCAGTATCTTCTACTGCCTGCTTATAAAGAAAAATGATCAATTCTTATACTGTTGAAACTTGAAATATTTCATCTCTAAAATAAATACCTGAACTCCAGCAGGTGTGAACTATTTACAGTGTAGCAGAGCAAACAAAAAAAGTGCTTGACTTCTGATGTAATACAATAATGCAAACAAGTTCTTGGTTTCCTGTGCAACGAAGTAAGGTAGGAACAGCTCGTGTGCTGCTTGCCAAAATGGGAAGTTGGCACCTCGACCTGTATGGTTGCCTGTCCTGGCATGTTTGTTTTCCTAGGTGGCAACAGCTCTGATAAACTAAAGCTCTCGGCTGAAAGGGTTCTTATTTTGTGGCAGATAAATACAGAATCTCCTGATACAGCTTTGCACTGTGTAAACTTAAATGTCTGTAAGTCCAGAAAATAAAGCAGTTGGTCTGCGTTAGTCTGTTAATCACAGGGATGAACTTGGTACCTTATACTGCAGGAGAAGGAAGAGGGGGATAACAAGAAACTGAGCCACAGTATGCTGAAATATTGACAAATTAAGCCTTTGACCAGTCTATGAACAATTCTCTCAAACATAAAATACCTTTTTTCCCCTATAAATAACAGCTTTAAGAGAAATGAGAAGTGTGGCCTGTTGGGAACTTAGGGTTGATGGGCTGATACTAGTGGAAGAGCAAGAGGGCTGCAATTACAAGAAGAAACGGTGTTAAAATATGGATAATAGTCCTTGTACTCAGGAAGTTATATCTAAATATCATAGCATGAGTAAGTGGTAGGATGCAAGAAAAACCCCACAACCACCGAACAAGTTTAATTTGAAGAAAATGACTTTGCTATAATTAAACATCCTCTGTTGTGCTCTCATGATTTGGAGCAGCTCTAGCTTCTGTTTATTTTTCTGCATGTGATATTCCCTTGCAAACGATAACTTCAGAACTGAGTAGACTAGAGGGATTTGTTTCTGCAAAACTCAGTAACATGAGCACTTAATGTAAACTGAAGCATTTAGATGTATTCAGGCTTAAATGTAAATCAGTGAGATTAGATATGCTTGAACTGTATTCTTATATCCTATACTGAAGGAATATGTAAGTTGCTGAATATACTAATCTGCGAGAACAATATTGATGTAATTGAGACGAAGCTTGCTGTTCTTTCAGTAAGAGTTCTAGTGCCTCGTGGAAAGGGGAGGATGTGGATCTCTAAAACTTGCCTTTTGTAATTCCAGGTACCTCAGAAATTCCACAAAAGTTCGGCAGAGAAGGAGAAGCTGAGATTGCAAAGAGTAAGGCATTTTCACTGACATAGAAAGCTAACCTGCTGTGCTTTTGCGTTGAATAGTAAGCAAAGCCCTTTGCGTTTCATCTTAGTCCACTTATAACATCTCTTTTCCTGGTTTTCCTCGCTGATGAATATGGAAGAATCTTAATGCATGCAGTTAAAGTACTTGGCTCATTCCAGAGCTTCTTAATGCATACATAATGAAGTGTGGGTGGCCTGCGCTGCATTTCTCTGCGCTTTGGTAAGATATTAAGAAACTGTAAATGTTGCTGACTGCTTGTCAAAATGCTTTCAAGAGTTTTTTTCAAACCCTTCCTGAGAGGGTAGGTACAGCCTTGCTTAGTGGACAGATACAAGTGAAATCTTCCAGAGCCTTCTCTTTAGGGCTGGCTCCTGCTTCGTCGTTCTCACTCTTCCCCCTTTTAATCCACAAAGTGTAGGGTCTGCTCTTCATTAATAAGTGAGGCAAATGGGCCACCATGTTTACGGCTTGCTGAAGAGCCTGTTGGATGTTGCTGCTGGAAACGCTCAAGCTCTGGTCTCTGTTTGCTTGAATGCAGCTAGTCAGCAAACTCTGTTCCGTAACAAAACGGTGGGGCGATAATTTTGCCGCCCGTTCTGCTTTCACTTAGAAAATGCTAAATATCAAGGAGGCTGATGGATCACATGGAGTTCTTGAACAGTCAGTGCTGTATGAGTGGGCTTTGCCTGCTGGAAAACTGGGTGTTATTTTAACTGCAGTTGGGAGGGCCTGTGCTCATGAATTCCTATCGGGTTTCTGAATAACTCCTTTATAAAGTTGGTAGGGGATTGTTGTGTGTTTTGTATAAGCTATATGTAGTTGAGCCTGCACCCGAGATGCTTGCTTTTTACAGTGCCCCATATAGAAGTCCAATCTGTTGTGTTCTTCCATTCTATATGTACGTTAAAAATAGCAGTAATGTGAGGGAGAGATGAGAATGGAAGCTTTGTTACATTAAAAATTAAATAGACCCGCCAATCTTGCTGCTAGCTTCACACCATTTTCCAAACTGCCCAGTAGTTTTCCATTGGTTACCATGACTTGGTTCTGACAATGCTGGTTTTTGGGTTTTTTCTTTTACCATTGGCACTGTTTTGCGTGTCGGTTGCCTTCTGCAGTTATTTGTACATTGTGACACTGTTCAGTAAGTCTTGATGTTGCCAAGAAGAGATGTGAAATAAATAAAACAAACCTGAAAATAGACAGTGAGGATATGTGTGTGTCTGAGCAGAGACATACCCTGTTTTCCTGGAGAAGTCACCAATGCCTACACCATAGGGAAGCTCTTTCTTGAATTTGTCATCTTATAGCAAGTGTTCCGTGTTCTTCTTTGTGTCAGTAGACCCATAATGAGAATTTTGGTTGCCTTGGGAGGGGAGTACTGTGAACAGCAACATTTTCAATGTGATCTTCCCCTCTTGTTCCTGCAGCGCCCCTTAAATAAGCTTAAAGCATCTGGTGTCTGATTATTGAATATGGACTAATATAAGTGACAATTTTTTTGCAAGCTCCACGTCTTATAAAGCAGGTGCACAGTCCAGAGTTTGGAGATTCATGTTGCTGCCTGAGATAGTGAGAAACGTTGTCAGAAAAGCCTTGTGGGTTTGAAAAGTGAATTTGATCTGATTTTGCAATTTAAACTTTTATACCCTGGTAGCCCTACATTGATATCAAAGGTGACAGCTTAGCTCATGAGGTGTTTATTTCCAAAGAAAGTATTTTGGAAACAATCTGAAGTCTTCTATTAAGTTAAAACCAATTTTTAAAAATTCCCGTATAGTTTTCCGTAATGCTACGGTGGTAATGAAGATGACTCAAATATAAAGCAAGTCGAATACAAAGCTTTCCTTGATGCTTAGAAAAGGGAAACGCCTCCGTTTGTTAGGAGAAAAGAACAATTAATGCCTTCAAAGGCAGTACAAAGTAGCTCAGCTGAGGCAACAGGTAGCTGTGGTTAATAACCTTGTCTCCTGTCATGGCCAGAAACGATGCTGGAGGTCAAGCACTGGGTGGGTGCAAGAATCTACTCTAGGGTCTCAGCTGAAGAAGCAGAGTCCTTATTTTCCTCAACTTTTTATGCTATTACTGTGTGCAAAAAGCCAACTTGCTTAACGTCTTGTTTCTGAACCAGGATCAGGAGCGAGCAGACAAGCTGCAGAAGTTGCAAGCAGAAAGGGAAGAAAAGGGAAGGCTGAAAGAAGAAGCGAAAGCCGCAAAAGAGCGAGCCAAGGAGGAGGCGAAGAAGAAGAAAGAAGAGGAAAAAGAGTTGAAAGAGAAAGAAAGGAGAGAAAAGAAAGAAAAAGAAGAAAAGGAAAAAGCTGAGAAGCTGAGAGTGAAGGAGGAGAAACGCAAGGAGAGGCAGGAAGCTTTAGAGTAAGTGGCTTGGCTTCTGCAGGTCCTGGGGGAGTAATGTAATGATGTGAGCACCTTTCCATACCCACCTTAACTGTCCCTTCTAGAGGTTGTACTGGTCAACAAGCATGTGCCTCTCTGTCATGGGATAGATTTTTAACTGCTCGAACAACTCTGTACACCAGACCCTAGTCTCAGCAGTGCTTTTTGCTTGCAGGCTGACCTGGGCTTCTGGTGTGAAATGGCTGAAAAGAGCAGTCATGCTCCGCTGAGCTTTCCCTTCAGGACCGGTGTTACTTGTACTTTTGCAGTTTGCTGGCACTGGTGCCCTGTCTGTTGAGGAAGTTGCTTGTGACTTGATAATACCATAAATACCCTTTCCTGGTATTGAGGGAAACTTGAAGCAGCCTAGCTGCTTTGTGGCTAAAACAGGTCAATATTTGCTCTAGAAGGAATGAAGAGTCTTTCTGTACGCTTAACCAAGTATGGTCCTTGACTGAATTAATAGATTATCTTCTTGCCTAGCATGATGGGGTCTTAGTCAAGGTCTGGGGCTTCTCACGTCTTCCTCAGTGCAAATAAACACTTCATGCTTTGTGACAATTAACGTGGACTTTATATTAAAGGGCAAAACTTGAGGAGAAGAGAAAGAAAGAAGAGGAGAAACGGTTAAGAGAGGAGGAAAAGGTAAATGCTTTCTCTAGCTTGTCTCAAGTTCTTCTGCCACCGTGAAATGATGCTAATGGGCTCCCTGGCACCCTGCCCGATGGCTACTGAGCCATTCACAACAGGGCTCCTGCAGCTACTGTGGTTCTCCAGGTGGTGTGCCCTGCCTCGGTGCCCCTCTTGAGGTCATGCCACGTGTCCGTTTGGGCTGCAGCCTGTCCAATCTGATATGGCGGTGCTATATCGCGCAGGTTTCTTGTCTGGTACTTTCATACCTATTGGTGTCTTTGCTTTTGCCTGTTAAAGTCTTTTCTGTGTGTGTTTTTTTCAATGCCCATGAGCGAACTCTGTCCTTTGTCTTGGCAATGACACTGGAATCCACATAGGTGTGTTAGAGAAGACAATTTTTTGTTGAGTTACAGGAGCTGGAACTTTGCTTTATGCCTTATTAGATTTGAAGTTGGGTCATGCGTGAGCTTACCTTGAATTGTAAGGCCCTGTCCTGCCTTTGGGTTTATAATTTGCATTTTGATTCTGATTTCAGCGTATTAATGCACAGAAAGCAGAAATTACGAGGTTCTTCCAGAAACCAAAGACTCCACAAGCCCCGAAGGTGAGGTATTGCTATTCCTCTGTGTTGTTGGTCTTTCATTAGTTGCCTTCTAACAAAGACACTTGATTTCCTTCTGATCTGTCCTTTGGAGCTTCCTAGATGAACAAAGCATTAGTATTTCTTACTTCCTAATTTCAAAAGTGTAAAGGATTTTAAAAAAAAAAAAAGTCTGTGACCAGAGCAGAGACTGCGAAAGTAGTTTGCAGTTGCTTTAGTGAAAATCTTGTCTCTGTCTTCTGCTGTGATGGCTGTAAAGACCTCAATTCCCTTGAAAAGATCTCCTGGAGTCTCAGATGGGAAGGGCTTAACCTAAATCTTCCTTCAAACATCAGTACCTGGTATTGAGGTTTGTTGCATATCTTGAATGTGTTGGTACTGCAGTTTCTTGGGTGTTCAGACCGTAATGATCTTCACTTCGTATTTCAGATTCTTGCTGGCTCTTGTGGAAAGTTTGCTCCTTTTGAAATTAAGGAGAACATGGTCTTAGCTCCCCTCTGTCGTATTGCCCCGGATCCAGACTTCCTAGAACAGCTGGATAAGCTCCTGCGTGCACAGAGTAGTGAAGTTTCTTTCTTGAGGGATCTAAAGTGTCGTAAACCACGTAAAACTGGACCTACTTTTGTCAATAACAGTGCTGACATAGTAAACAGGTTAGTCTGTGTTTGGGGGGGGTGGGTTTCTTCACTTTTTTTTTTTACACGATGAACTGCAGGATGGCTTAGAGGTAGTCTTATTCTAATATTGGAGATGATGGAAAGATGGAGCTTTTCTTTGAATACTGATTTTTATACGGGAATTGTTTCCATGGGGAGCAGTATGTTATGATGTAGATTGCCTTCATTCCCTACAGAGCTTCTCAAATCCTTCCCTGCAGGAAATCTTGCCCTTCAGGCAGCTGCCTTTCAGCACTGGACACTACTGGCCCTTAGCGGTGTTGGTCTTTGATGGTTTTAAAAAGTAAACATACGGATAGCTAAAACAGAGGTGCTGTTAAGGAGGGAGGTGGCTTGGCTGGAACTCATGTTCTTGCAAGCAAATTGGGAGTGTGCCTGGTCTAATCAGCTCAAGCTCTGCTTTGGTATTGTGGCTGAACTGAAGTTTTCTAGATGTTTTCCTGAGCAGCAGGGGATGTTCTGCTGAGTACTGAAGATGGTCTCTTGTTTTAACAGTGATGTGGTGGTAGTGGATGCTGTTCCCGAAAGGGGGAAACTTGGTAGAATGAAACTTCTGCAGTTTTGTGAGAATCACCGTCCTGCATATTGGGGCACATGGAACAAGAAAACCACTGTGATTCGTCCCAGGAATCCTTGGTCAAAGGACAGTGTAAGCACCTCACAGGCAGTATAGTGGGATTCTTTTACTTCTTTATGCCCTTGAACTGAATATGTGGTTGATCAAGTTCATCTGTTCTCTGGGATTTCTGCCCACTTGCATCTTCCCTCTTGCTACGGAGTTTTGAAACCTCCGATGGGGTCTGGTGTCGTGCTTCCAAATTACTTACAGAAATGGCACGTTGGTGTTTCTCCTAGAAACTACTGGACTACGAAGTAGATAGTGATGAAGAATGGGAAGAGGAGGAACCCGGAGAAAGCCTCTCCCATAGTGAAGGGGTAAGGATTCTGCATGCTGAAAAATAGCTTTATGAACCAATTGTATTTGTCAGTGTAATTTCTAATAAGCAGATTTTATTTTCAGGATGATGAAGAGGAGGGAGAGGACGAAGATGATGACGATGGGTTTTTTGTACCCCATGGGTACTTATCTGAAGATGAAGGAGTGACAGAAGTAAGTGAACTGCACGTCAGTGGGTTTCCATCTCTGTTTCCAATGAATCCTGTAATAAATACTGGCAGAGGAAGAAAGCATGTAGCCTTGGCAGTGGTGTAACTCATCTCAGATCTGCGTGGTTCAGGAGCAGACTTGTGTAGCTCAGGGAACACAGTAAAAAGTGGGGTATAAAAGCTTTTCGGTGTTTTATTTTTTTCTGGAATGGATGTATAGAGTTCTTTCTCGCCTGTGGCTTTAGGAGTGCGATCCAGAGAATCAGAAGGTTCGTCAAAAGCTGAAAGCAAAGGAGTGGGATGAACTCCTGGCCAAGGGGAAGAGGTTCCATGTTCTACAGCCCATGAAAATCGGCTGCGTCTGGGAAAGTGCAGAAAATGACAGCGGCACAAATGCGGACCTAAAGTTTCTCCAGCAGTTCACAGCGTGTATCCTGGATTCGCCTGTTGCAGAAGAAGAACAGCAGATACAGAAATGTAGCAAAAAACGAGCAAAAGATCAGCAAAGTAAGATCTGAAGGGCTAAGTGCTTAATGCGCTGTTGTACTCTGCTTTGGAGAGAATAGATTCTTGTGCTGAGCGTCAAATTCGGAATGACCTGTTTATAACAAGTCTGAAATCCAAGGAATCTTTATGAGAGTTCTTGGAAAGGCGTTTTCCAGCATTGCATCTGGTATGGCCTTCGTTACGCACTCCAGAAACTCTTGCTCTAGATAAATCTAGGCAATAAAGCCAAGAAGACTTCAGCAGACTCAGATTTAGGACTGCTTACTGGAAATGCTCGAGCCCGTCGACCCGTTTATTGTTCAGGGGGAGAGGATTTAGTTTGTGTGACAGGTTTCAGTACTGGGTATCTCCTGTACCTGATTAGCACAAGGATATGAATAATGCACGTCAAGGCTAGAACAGGGGTTGAAGCTTTCGCTTCAGGGTGTCATTATTATTGGAGGTGACTTTTCTACATCGAATTTAGCTCCTGTTACAATCCCATATCTAAAATTAATCTCAGCCTATTTATCTTCTTTCTGGAGCGTGTGTACTGATAGGTTATGTCAGCCTGGTTTTTCTTGGCCTTCAAACAGTTCTTCCCCACAACCTTTGTGTGTCTTTTTTTTTTTTTTCTCTGCAGTCCTTGGCCAGCTTTTGCCGCTGCTGCATGGCAACGTGAATGGGAGCAAGGTGATCATCCAGGAATTCCAGGAGTGCTGCCGGCAAGGACTGTTCAGTGATGTGACTGCAGCTGCCGACTGTAGCGACACAAGCCCCGCGAGCCCTCACACCTCCCGGCCGCAGACGCCTGTTGGTGAGGACAGCAGTGTCCCTTCCAAAGCCAGGCTAAAGCGAATCATTTCTGAGAACTCTGTGTACGAAAAGAGACCTGAATATAGAATGTGCTGGTACGTCCACTCGGAGGTGCTGAAGAGTTTTGATCAAGAGCATCTCCCTGTCCCTTGTCAATGGAACTACGTCACGCAAGTCTCTTCTTCAGGGAAGGAGGAGGGTGGCAGTGTGCCAGGCGTGGCTCTCCTGCAGGCCACCCCCGTGTCGGTGAAGAGGAAGTCCACCGGAAGCATGTCCATCACTAAATTCATGAAAAGGCCTCGGGATGCTGAACAGGTGAGTTCCTTTTGCGGTGCTCTTCCCCAGTGAAGAACGACAGAAATGTAGCTGTGTGCGTCTTCAGTAGGCGAGCGTCCTGGCGTGCCTCCCAGGTTGGCCTAGATGAGCAGAGTCAAAATATTAAGCTACAGACACTGTCCTTTGCACAAAAAGACCCTTTTTGTTGGGAAAGGGGGTGAAATTATGTGACTCGAAAGAGATGGGTTTCTTCTGTGCCTCTCCAGCTTGGACTGTCTATTCCATTTGAAATGTTGCTTTCCTGCTGTTCTTCCATTTTCTGCTATTTGGCAGTGATTGCATCCAAGCTGTGAATAGTTTCTGAGTGTCTGCTTGGCCTTGGTTTTACAGCTGTATATAATTTGTATGCAGGTTTTTATGTATATGTATGGCTGCCAGATGTATAGCCAGAGCTGGTGACTTACATCAGTTGCATGTGTACTCATTAAATGCGGTTCGTAAGTGCTGCAACTCAACCCATAATAGTCTGTAAAGTCTCTGGCTTATGTTGTCATACATAAAGCTGAATTTCAAGAGCTTGTTTAAAAAAAAAAAAAATAATTCATAGGAACAAAACGAGATGGATTTGGAGTAGTTGCTACTCCAGCTCTAAGCTTTGTTGTGGTCTTCCCTCCTCTTGTTTGCTTCTGTTTTTTGAGGTAACCACAGGTAGTGTTAAGGGCTTAATCAAGCCAAAAGGATGGCTGAAAAACGTGATGGGTGCTTTTAGCTGTGTGATGATGCTCTGCCATGCACTTTGGACAGTAAGGCTTTAGGTCCTGAACCTTGGTGTTACCTACTGTTTGCTTCCAAACCTACAGGTAGGACAGGGTTTGCACTGTCAGGGGATTTATTCCTCATCCCCTGTGGGCAAGGGGGTGAGGAAAGAAGCCACAGACAAGGCTTTTTGTGCTTTTCTTTTCTGCTTTATTCTTGGCTTCTTTGGCTATTTCTACTGAAAAAGCTCTGCATTCAAATACTGATGGGGTTCAGAGACTTGTGAGAAGCTGTTCAGCCCCCAAACTCCATCTGTTTGGGTTTTTTTTTTTTTTTTTTTTTT